TAAAATCTCAAATGTACTAAAGTTGAAAAGACGCATCTGTGTCACTTAAAAAAATCATACATGTAAACCACACAATCACAAGAAATAAAGATCATTTAAATGGCAAAAAGGATGTATGATCAATCAGTAGTGCGTTTGAAGAAGACAACAAGTAGAGAACTGATAGAGAATAGTACGACAGTTTGTTAAAAATTGTTGACATTTGGCTAGTTGGAGAATATCTGCCGTCGTTCGGCCATTCTGTTAACTTGCCGACGTATAGTGAAGTTTTTCGTAAATATATGTTTCATTTGCGTGATGAAAAAAAAATTGGAAGCTTAGTGCCTTCCTAACAATAAAGGAATTAAAGGATGCTTGGAAGAAAAAAAACTTAACACATTTGGTAAATGACATAAGCATAAAGAAAAAACTGTTGCTATTTTTCAATACCTGGAAAGCCTTATTAAAATGCAAACTTAGAATGGCTAAGAAAGACGTCGAAAAAAGGAACACATTTCATGGATCATTGCGTTTGATATCGGGAAGAATTTTAAGGCAAAAACCCGTGAGAAAAGCAGGCGATGCAATATTTGCAAAAACAGTGGGAACAATCTCATCTTGAAGAAGAAACTGAGGTTCTCACTACCAATGAAACCATTTCGTGTAGCGATTTTGATGAAGAAGGGTCAAGCCAAAGACCGGATCAAATTTGTAGTGCAACCTCAATTGAAACATCATCACAAAACGACAGCCAGGCTGGGTCAGTGTACTCGCCTAGTACATCCGAAAGAGCTTCTCCAAAAACAGGTACGTTGTGATGTTTTACTAATGTTTTTTTTTCTTTTAGATTATACACCTATTACCATCCATATTAATATATTTTGAACGTTCTAGGTTCTCCAAAACCAGCTTTGACACGTAAATCGCAACTGATACGAGTTGTTACAGTTGAGGTAGCTGCTGCATTGGACCGCTGTAAAGTGAGTGATCGAAATGCCGTGTTTCTAATATCATCGATCGCTAAAGCTTTAGGGCACGATGTTTCATCATTATTGTTGAACAAGGAATCTGTCAGAATCGCCAGAGCAGGAATTCGCTTACAAATGCAACATGATTTAAAAGCGTCGTTTAAGCCAGATATAAATTTAACAGTACATTGGGATTCTAAGCTGATACCTAACATATTTCCATCCAAAGCTCTACCAAAAACCGAGCGCTTGACCATAGTTGTATCAGGCGAAGGCATTAGCAAATTATTGGCTGTTCCACCCATCGAAAACTCTACGGGGGCACAACAAGCAGAAGCGGTGTACATGTACAATGCAGTCGTCGAATGGGGGCTTGCGGACAGGTATGATCTTAAATCTTGTATGTTCACCTCAGAATTCTGACTATTTTATCGTTTGTTTTCAGAATTATGTTTACATCTTTTGATACTACTGCATCAAACACCGGTAGAAAAAAAAAGATGCGTGTCAGTACCTGGACAAATTGTTTAAAAGGCAGCTTATAGGCCTCCCTTGTAGACACCACATACATGTGGCAAAGCTTTTAAAATTCTGAAATTCGAAACGTTAAAGTCTCCAAATGTTGAGATTTTTAAGGAATTCCAATCAAAATGGCACATTTTGGAAAAGACCTCATATCACTCATGTATGGATGATGATTTTTTTTAAAATAGCTATTTCGGAAATAGAAAGATTGGCGTTATTGGAGTTTTATGAAAAACAAATTAGAGAGCAACACCACCGTAGTGATAACCGAGAGGTTCTACAACTTGCCATGTCGTCTGCGAACGAAAGTCGAGGACGAAATTGACGTCGTTGAAATACACCAGAAATATCAACGGGCAGAGGTGGCTACCTTGCGGAATACCAGAAGTGGCAGGGAACGAAGGAGATCGGCAGTCGTCGATTGCAACTTCCAACTGACGATCAGATAGATAGGATGCGAACCATCGTAGGAGACTGCCGTTTATACCGAGCCTATCAAGTTTGGCGGTCGCTATAGGATGGTTTAGCTTGTCGAAGGCGGCTGATAGGTCAGTGTAGATGACATCTGTTTGCATATGGTCTGTCATACTCTCCTTAATGTACGACGTGAGACACAGAAGGTTGGAAGTAGTCGACCATGTTGGTCTTCGCTCAAGTGCTGCTTGAAGTGTGTGAAGAGACTAATGGTTCCATAACGACCAACTCGAACAGTTTAGCTATGGCACACAACGATGTGATGCACTGTCGATGGTTCTTATGTATCCCTTCTTATGCACTGGAAACATCTCAGCTGATTTCCAGCAGGAAGGAAACACCCCACTGGAGAGGGACATTTCGAACAGAAGGCAGAGAGGAAAAATGAAGACTTCAGTTGCGAAACCGCCCTAGTTATCATAGCGAGGTCGATGTTGATAGCTGCCAAAGATTGGCCAGACATTGGAAGATTACTGTGGAATGTCCTCAGGAATTTGGTTGCCTTCAAGTGCAATAACTAAAGGAGGATGGTGTGGAACAGTCTTTATCAACGGAGAAACAGCCACCGATAAATGCGGAGCAGTATTCTGAGCGGTGACGAAGCAAAGGTCTAAGCTACAATTTTTCTCATTAACCACGCGGTTGATTTGCTTCAGAGTGGCGATACTGTAATGATCCAAAAGGCTTACAGATCCAGAGTGAAAAGTAGAACGGGCGTGGTCCAGATACAGGAATCCACCGTAAGATGATTGCCAAGAAATTGCTGGTAGATTAAAGTCGCCAATATAGCCAATAGCTGTATTATACGCTTTGAGTCAGTTTTAGGTTTTAACAGAGGTAAAACGCGGAGAGACGGCTAGGGAAAGCATAATGTTCACACTTGAAGGGTTCGAAGCGGCTGAGCTTCCTTTCAAAACCAATTTGGTTCTAGAACAATTTCAAACTACTTACCGAGTAGTTCAGCTGTTCTGATTTCGGTAGAGTTGGTTGAAATAGGGTATAGTTTCTGAGTATGTTGTTTGTGGATTCCCATTTTGAAATAGCTCAGATTAGCACAGAGTAATAGTTTTACTGCTAGGGAACGTTCTTCTGGGATCGTCTCTTCTTCATACAATTCTCATTATTCATACTATATTAATCATGATCAGTCTTAGAAAATGTTTTATGTTTGAGTCCAGTTCTAGATTAGTTTGTTATTAATGTGTTAAAAAAATTGCAGCTCGCGAGAGATTACCAAATATGGGTTCTCTTTTTCATCAATAATAGTTTGAGGGTAAGGGAGCGAGTCGAACGTTGCGATCTGAAAGCGAAATAGAGGCAATTAAAATAGGGAACACAACACCATGACCCAAGCGACTAACCAACGCATGCGGCTCACACTAAACTTGTTCTATTTCTTTCTTCCTCTCATGTACCAATATGAACTGCCTGAGAACAACTGGGAACACGGCCAGATGTTGAACAGGAGGAAAAATAGCGAGAAAGCGTGAGCAAGACAATAAGAATTAAATAAGACATGCATAGGCAAGAGTAAGCAGTCAGACAAGATCACGCCGGTTGGAGACAGCCAATTTATCTAGGAAAGAGTCGTACCAGCAGGAAACAGTAAGTAGGATAAGAATTGCAAAAGGTGTGTGCTTGCATGATCATTTCCTAACTTTCCTTTAATATATAACTTTCTATTACCTATAATCCACATCAGAATCTCATTTCCTTCAATTACTACTCTATCGCTGCACACACATAATATTGATCTCTAATCTTCATATAGTTTCAGCATTATCGACATTATAATTAAAAAGTGAGTTGTACAGTATAAGTACCATGCATAGAGATAAGTTAATGTACCAGAACCTGGACGGACACGAGCCTACCCAGGGGAGGACCCGGATACGACCATCCATGTGCGTCTAGAGTATCGCACGAGCTGACAAGTGCAACGGGAAGGACAGTAGGTGTATAGACTAGGAGGTTAGACCCTAGATAGGCCAACTTAGAATATTAAGGCTCAACTACTACGGGCACATCCTTAGGAGCGATCCAGGCGGAATTTTGAAAACGGCACTCAAGTACAGAATACCGGAACCAAAGAAAATAGGAAGATCGGCATATACCTGGAAAACCTGTATTCGACAGGACGTGGAGAGGAGTAAAATTCCCATTGAAGTATGGCAGGATATAGCACAAGAAAGGAGCAAGTTCAAACAAACCACTAAAAATCGGTATAGTAGCATGGTGGAGACGAATTTTGAGACTAGCAGTGACTCTGACTGGGACCGTGAAACAGAAGACCTAGTTCCTTCAGACTTCTCCGGATTCCGTGATGAGGACCCCATCATGAGAGAAACCTATTCTGGCAAAGAAGTCGGTCCGAGTCACCCAAAAGGACAATTCAATCTGAACATTGCATTAGGTCCTAAGTAACATTGACAGATTCTCTTCATTGATTTTCTCTTTCGTTAACAACTTTGTCATATTAGAAGATAGATAATAGCTTCTTTCATCGATCTGTGTGCTGAAAATAGCTGGGAACGTCTTAAAATGGCCGTGAGGATGCAAAGAGAGAGTCGACGAAGAGAATTTGTCAATGTTACTTAGGACCTAATGCAATGTTCAGCTTGAATTGTTACCTTACCGGTGACAGAGAGTCACGTGACTCGCAGAATAAGGGGGACTATTTTGGTCAGTAATAACACATAATAAGGGGCCAAAGCGATATAAGCGCCATTCAAAATTAAACGCAATAGTAGAACAGATGGAAATGTGTGCTGCGAGATAGAATAGGAACGATTATTTTTATTTCTTAATTTTATGATCCCTGTATCATTTTTCTCTAACATCCGATATACAAAGGCATGCCTATAATTAATTCTCCACATTTATTTATCAGACTCCCGCTTACTGGCAGTCCTCCAAAGATTAAGCACGGTGTTGATTCCTGTGAAAGCAGTCCGTCCATTGATGTAATGTTACAAAGGGAGTTCCAATTTTAATCGTATACAAACATCTGACATCGATGTCCATCACGCCAAAACAACACAGCACCATCTATGCTCTGATGGGTACAACTATCTACGTAAATGGTGCGGCGTTACTTTACCTGTTTTAAGCGGCGCCGTGTTTATTCGCATGAGAGCATCGATGCTACCACACCAAGACATGGTCATGCCGCGGTTATTCGCGAGAACTAACACACCGCAAAACCCGATCTTCAGTTTTCGGTCGGTCGCCTTAGTGTTGAGACGTAATTTACGCATTTATGAATGGTACCTACTGGAGTACTCCCGGGATAAATAACATAATGGATGGATACAAAAAAGGAGAGAAAAGAACTATTAAATTCTATCACAAAATAGTTTTTTGTATAAAAGTTTAGTTGCAGCATTCCGGGATATAGTGAACGCGAAGAAATCCAAAATAATAGTATCGCAATAGCGGTGTGTAAACATAAAATCGATATTTTCGGATCCCTTAGCGGATTGCTGGGAAGTGTGCAAATTAAGGCGAAGAGAGGAGCCAGAAAGGATTGGATATGGATTTTTGCGTGCAAATCTAGATGGTGGTTTGATACCATTGTATTGGTCTCTGGAATATACCTTTCGGAATCGAGAAACTAATAAAAGAAAAAAAGGAATTTCATAACATAGATGCGCGCATCTTCCACTCTAGGAGAAGCTGTGGAAGTTGTGTAGTTGTTGGATGACGATAATACACATTTAGTAGCGCTTTGGAAAAGAAGCAGAACAAACATCGCAGTGTATCGTACAAGTGTTTGAAATTTAAATTGATAGAAATAGTCTGCAGAAGTGGTCTAATTTGTATTGTATGTATATAAATAAATATAGCAAGCGAAGTTGAGATAAGCAACTAGCAAGCAAAAATTGTATTTAGTGTTTGTGTAGAGCATACCGGGTGTTTGCGTTTACCTTTTCGCCTGGCATGATGTTGTATAAAGAAGAAATCATTTTCACGGAGTAAATATTCTGAGCTGCTAGCATTGGGATAAAACGAAGAAAAGCAACAGCACTAGCAGTGATGAAATGATTCATATGTAAGAAGAAACAAGCAGGGAAAAAGTTTTCGTGTGTTTCGAAGAATCGCTATTTATGGTATTCGTACATGCAAGCACTTGTCGGGAAATAAGTGAATAATAATTAGAGAAGGAAGGAATTCAAATTAGGCAATATCACCTCCAGTGAGTGCAAAGTGTAATCCAAGCAACAATGATGATGATAATTAGCAAAACGAATCGAAAAAAGTGATTCTCTGCTTTCGCCTAGATAAGTGATAAAGAAGAAACAAAGATCAATAGTAGAATACCATCACTTTCTCTCCAATGAGCCAAGCCTGTCGCGAACGCGGAAAACATCGCCACCAAATCTTCTGGTAGAGAAATTCCAAATGGTCAAACATTTTTATGGCGCTGTTATTATTTCGATTCTGCCTTGTGTTTGCGATAGGATTACTCTTGCTGAATGGATTCGCAATACTACCAGGTAAGGAACGAGCCAAAATTTCCTCTTTTTTTATCCTTACTCATAGCACATATCCTGCCTCGGTGCGGCACTGCTCTGTATCGATCCTTCGTCGGATGTTACCCGGAGGGAAAAAAGCCTCGCGTATTAGAGTGTATTTGAAGTTTAAGGTCAACAGCATAATACCAACCAAAGTAATGATGGTGGTGGTGGTCGTGGTGGCAGTGATGCAATGTGGTGACAGAAGTGTAAAACAAGAACTGCTTCTCTGTAGCTACTTGAAGCTCTATTGGAGTCTCTTTGTCCAGGTTCATGTTAAGCTCATGTTATGCTTTTCCCTCTTCCCTGTTGTAAAAAAAATACAAATTCTATTTGTTTTCATCCGTGTTTTCCTTGTCAAAACAATCAAAATGGCGTACAAAACGTGCGAGAGCGAGGTTGAAGGATATATGTAGAGCGAATGCGCCACACAGTGTGTTAGAGAAATGACTCTATATATGTATTAAGGTATAGTGTTGTTTGTTATCCACCACCAGGCAGGGAGAGATCATTTCGGTGTCGGACAGAATGTGGAACAAGGAAACTGAAAGCAAAGGAGAGCAATAATGATATACACAATATTGCGGATGTAGTTGTGTAAAACCTATTCCAATGGGATAGATTTATACAATTCTGCTAGAGAAGAGCGTGATTATCTATTCAGCGTATACGCTAAGTCGAGCATTTTAAGATGTCTCTCCATCAATGCTACTATAATCTTATCACAAATGAAACGTGCAATTTTCTTTCTTTTGTGACAAAGCACTGCAGGATTTAGTTTTACATAAATAGAAAAAAAGGAATGACAATTTGTTTGTAGGTCCAGATCAGTATCCAAATTAAATTGATTTTCAATCGAAAGCTCCCTAGGTCAATGCACTTTTTGGCAATACGTCAGGAGGTTAATTTCCAATACGGGTACTATATCTAAATGATTATAAATGTCGCGTTGTAGAATCTGGCTTTCACACTCAATCAATCTTAAATTACGGCATATTTTCTTTAAAAATCGATTAAATCGAAATTATGCAATGCAAGGATATACATATGTTTTAAAGCAAACTTCCTTTATCAATTTATCTAACAAACCGAAATATGATCTCTAATCACAACTAATGTTACACGGGACACCGAAAACTTTTAGTTTTCTCTTCTTGACAATCGTTTTGTGTGCTAATGTCATGAGTGAACTTTTGCGGTACCATCAGAGTACCAATTTCCGCTCATTTAAGGCAATGGTTAAAAAATCGCAGGAAAAGCCCAACATTGTATTTGGTTTTTGTTTTTCTCATCATTCGTTAGGGAAAATAGAAAACACACTTTTATGCAGCAACACAAAATTGAAAAACTAAATGCAGTCACATGTACCAATTACCACTCATGTTTTGATGATGTCTAGAGTAACATTTGAAATGGGCCTATGTCCAAAACGTAAACAAACTAGAAAATGAATTTTAAATTTTTTCGCCACTATTCAATTCATATTTAAGAAAATTGAAGTTTTTTAGGCATTTATATAGTTCACAATAACAATAGTAACTGTATCTCAGTATACAACATCTAAAATATGCGAAAAGCTTTCAAAAATATGTGAAAATCAATATTAATTTAATTTCATAAATTAATAAGCCTTTTTGTGAATCTTTCAATGGATAGGCCCTTTTTGTTAAGCTGTTGTGCTTGTCATCAGTACGCCCTTCGCCAAGCCTTTTCGCAACGTCGAATAAATTCAAAACAAATTATTGGCCCTGCCTCAAGCAGTAAGGCCAACCGGTGGAAACTAACGATTTTAAATTGGCTCACTACTTGACTAGCCTATTGGTCACAAGAAAATCGTTTAACGTACCCCATTATAGTCGAAATTCTAGTACAGCATTATGATTGTTTTGATTCGCTATGAAAGTTTGACAGATAAAATGAGGGGTTCGTGGATTTTCCTATGTTTCGAGGGGTGCATCGATTAGCTTGGGACCGAAGAGAGTACCAGAGCAGAGCCAAAAAGTTGAGCACGTTTCTTAGGGACCTTCTAGTCTTAGAGTTACCTCTATGGTAAGGCCTAGCTGAGAGGGAGAAGCAGATAGCACACACGGAATTTATTTTATAGCTTGTTCTTCTTGTCATGCAAATTTGTGCCATTGAAAATAAATAAAAACAGGCGTAGCAAAATAGCGTGTTTTGCTTTGAGCGTGTAGTGCTTGTTTGAGATTGTTCAGTGTGCAGTGAGAAACCATACTCTTCCGTTTGGTATTTTATTATGTCACTCGATTTTTTGACAAAACCTTGGTTAATGGTATCTTTCATTATTAATTTGTGTTTATTTTTAATGAATTCCCGGTGTCCCATTAAATAAAATAGCTGGAAACGAAAGTTTTCATAAATTACTTTACGCAAGATTTCAATACTGCAATATAATATAAAAATAAAATATATTCAAAATTCGTTCTACATCACATCTAAACCGTATATTTCGAACGTTTACATTACTTATTATTCTTCGCTTTAGCCTTATACTTCTTTGAAGCCGTGGTTTTTAACACAAATGCATAACAGAAGCCACAAATGTTGACTTTATTATATGTAACGCTCGGGTTATCAACAAGACATTTCACGCATAAGTTTTTGTATTAGGCAGTACATGGCAGAACAGGAAACCCAAATTGATATGAAAATACCTACTTTGTGAATTTAAATTCTGTTTCCTCAACAATTGTGCGTGCTTCAAAAATCTAACTAAACGTATGGATTTAGGAAGGTCTATTCAACAAAATTCAAGCCTAATATTCAAAGGAAGGAGCCAAAATCAATCTTGATAAAAATACGTGCTTTTGTCAATTTAAACCTGGCTTTGTGTATGCTTGAAAAAATAATCATTACGTTCAAACGTAATTTTAATCAAATTCAGCAAGGTCCATTCTATAAAATCCAAGCATAACTTTCAAAGGACGGTATCAATATCAAACTTAGCTGAAAAGGAAACCCAAATTTATAAAAAAAAAATATACTTTTCGAAATTCAAAACCCGGTTCAACCTTCACGTATGGATTCAGCAAGGTTCATTCTATAAAATACAAGCCTTTTTTCAAAGGTATGAGCTGAAATTCAGTTCGGCAGAACAGAAAAATCAAATTTCTATGTAAATGTTCGTCCTTCACGCATGGATTAAGCAAGTTCCATTCTATAAAGTCCAAGCACAAATTTCAAACGATAGAACCGAAATCCAACCTGGCTCCGAAAAATCTACCATCACGTATGAACTCACAAATGTCTATTCTATAAAATCCACGCTCGCTTTTCAAAGGACGGAGCCAAAATCCAACTTGGCTGATCAAGGAATCAAAATTTCCATAAAAATTCGTACTGTTGTTGATGTAAACCCAGTTTTCTCAACAATTGTGCTTGCTTAAAAAAATCTACCATCAGGTATGAACTCACAACTGACCATGTACCGAACAGTGAATTATAGCGAAGACATCATACCAACAAGACTGGAAACTTTGCCGGAATCCTAGCGACAGATACAGTAGCGCTGCACTTGGTTGAAGGTGGAAGCATCGCATAGAAATAGGAACAAATACACAAACCTTTATTCTGAGGTTGTAATCCTTGCTATCAAATTCGTTCGAAGCGTTTACCTTTGAGTAGCAGATGACGCGATTGTTCCTAACTCATAGCGGTCGTATGAGAAAATGGAAGAGTTGCCAGTCTTCTTGATATGTTGTCTTCGGAAAACCCTAAAAATGAAATAGTTTTGGGCCAAACCCATTTATCGTGCACGTTCTTTGCTGAGTATGGATTAATGGGCACACCGGTTTTTGCTTGGAAACTTCATGTTACTAGCTGGTAAAACAGCAATAAAATGAAGGTAGCATGATTTTTACTCCTCCTGACCCAGGAACCTACCGGAATAAATTCGGCTGCACGGTTCCAAATTTTTAACGAAACATGGATTTTCTTAAAGCAACTGGTAGAAAATAATTTTAGGTAGTGTTTGAAATCTAATACTGCTTCTTGATTCTAAATTCGTTCTACGTAGAAAAAGGGGATTCGCTAGGAGCGCTTCTTTTGTTTTGAGAACAGTGAGCATAAATATTCATACAATGCGCTCTAACAGGATTTATGTTGTAGCTAATGAACTAGCGCATCGGAACGCTATTATTGATTTGTGCACGGTTAAATCATTGATATCTTTTCTGATCGATATAACGTAAATGGGCGATTACGACGAAGTAGTGCTCTACCCTATTAAAACGATTAAATGCTCCTTGAAAATATGCTCTTTTATTGCGTACCTAGTCGGATTTATTGGCCTATCCGTGTTTTTAGGCAGAGGAACGGAGCGATGGGCAAGCTTCTAAAAGAAGACTAAAGAGAAAGCTTCTAAAAAATAAACTACAAGGCGCTTTTTTAAAAACTCATTCTAGACGCTTCCCCGTTGCTCCGCTCTTCTAATTAAAAAAAAAACACGGGCTGAATTAGAAAAATTCACAAGGAAAATCACCTTACCCAAAAATAATCAAAATTAGATTTGTTGCGATTGGTATTTATTTTCAAACAATCCTCAATTTTTAACGTGTTTCAGTAGTATTGGGGGTTTTATGCTATTTTCAGGTTCTTATTTTGACTGTTTATGTCCATTTTGGTCTATTCTTTGAACGATTTAAGATTTTTTTTAAATACAGTCAACACGATGTCCACTAACTTGATATCGAGTTACCGTAATGCACCGAATACCGGGCGGTTCTTTAATCCGCACATTTCATCATCGTTAGAGTATGCACAAAGGGGCTGTTCATAAACCATATAGACAATTTAGGGAGTTAGCGAGTGTGTACGGACCATACAAATTTCCTTAAATTTGTAATGGACGGTTGTCTACATGGGGGGAAGTAGGTGGTCTAAAACTTCTCAGAATCGGTCTACGTAGCTTATGAATAGCCCCTAAAGCGAAGTCGTTCGTAACCCTACTTTATTTTGTCACAAAT